GGGGACGGCGGCCCTGGCTGGGTGGAGGCGGCGAGCACCGAGCGCGTCTTCACTCCTTCCAACGCGCTGGTGGGGCTGCGTCTGAAGCTGCGCTGCACGCCCGGGGACGGGGCGCAGCGCTACGGGCCGCCCTGCGAGGTGGAGAGCAGCGGCCCCGTGGAGGCCGCGCCCGGAGCCTGCACCTTCGACTCCCGGCACCTCTACACCAGGAAGGTCTGCGGGGAGGGCTCCATTCGCGCTGTCTCCTACAACATCTTGGCCGACGCCTACGCCCAAACGGAGTTCTCCCGCACCGTTCTCTACCCGTACTGCGCCCCGTACGCCCTGGAGCTCGATTACCGGCAGAACCTCCTCAAGAAGGAGCTGGCGGGCTACAATGCCGACCTCATCTGCTTGCAAGAAGTGGATAAGTCCGTCTTCGTGGATAGCTTGGCTCCAGCCCTCGATGCGTTTGGACTCGAAGGGCTCTTCAAGATCAAGGAGAAGCAGCACGAAGGCCTGGCTACTTTCTACCGCAGGGACAAGTTTAACCTCCTCAGCCAGCACGACATAGCTTTCAGCGAAGTCCTGCTCTCGGACCCGCTGCAAAAGGAGCTGGGCGAGAAGCTGGCCGAGTACCCTCTGGTGAAGGAGAAGGTGCTGCAGAGGTCATCTGTGCTGCAGGTACCAGCTTTTTCTGCATTCTTCCTCTTTCCCCTCTCCTTCACACTGTCGCCAGGCAGGTGCAGCCAGGCTGGGTGTGTCGAGCATCAAACCTCCGGAGAAGGGTGACAAGGAGTTAAACGGTCCAAAACATGAGCAGTGGTGTGATCTGTTATTGGGGATGATGGATAGAGCAGAAGAGCAGCTTGCAAGCTAGACCAAAATGCTGAACTGGATAAATGACATTACCAAAACTTGTTTAAAAAAGCAAAATTATGTTCTTTTGTTTTGAAATGCAGGCAGCTCTTGAGACTCTCAGCCATATCCATGGTGGTATTGACTGCCAAGTTTTTCACTACTTACTCTCATATGGGAGAGTATGTATTTGATAAAACTTAAATCCTATAAATAAATTGTAAATGAGATCATGTTAATTTAGCTTGCTTTTAATACTATCACTTTACAACGTGACACTGGGAAGAGAATCAGGTTGGATGTGTTTGTGAGTCAGTGGGTGTGCCAGTAGAGCTATCCTACGAGTCCATACATGTAAGATCTAGGCCTGTGTCAGGAATTTCAGAAACACTCATAGGTAAAAGTTTCCTACTTATGGGCTGAGTAGGACTAACAGGCTTTCCTTGATAACTGGCTAAATTTACGTTCAATTTAACAACTAGGCAATGCTGCAGTTTGCTTCCTAAAACCAGAGATAAAGCTCTGGTTCTGTTGCAGAGGTAGGAGAATAGAAAATGAAAGTAGAAGATAGTGGTACAGGATTAGCCACATCTTAATAAAAAGTATGGAATAGATTGAAGGGAAAATACAGCCAAACCAGACACTTGGGGACAAAAGAACATTGGTCAAATACTTGGGTGTAGTGTTAATATATTTGCTGATACCCAGACCTTGTACAGAAGATAGGCTTAACTTAGGAGCTGTACTGTTAATTAATTAAAAGCATCACTTTATTTGAACTGGATTGGTATAAAGGTATTGGCTAACTATTGCATTTTTTAATATTCAATATGTCTATTTAAGACTTACCAAAGATTGTTTTTTCTCTTGAAGGTGTCAGTTCTTCAGTCTACAATTGATCCTTCCAGGAAGATTTGTGTAGCTAATACCCACCTATACTGGCATCCAAAAGGTAATTTTTTTCACGTACCTGTATGTAGGAAAACTGGGTTTGTAAAGGTTTTTGTCCTTCCTAGGGAGAATAGATCTCCTCCCATTCTTTTGCACCCATAACCTCTTCTTGTGGAGTTGAGGGTTTCCTGCCTTGCTTCCTATTTAGGTGAATCAAGCCAGAGTAATAGTTCTGTTTGTTTTTATTTTCCTTAGACTTAAGATTGCACTAGTCTGCTTGGGAGTCAGTAGAATGTGGCTGAAAGCAAGTCATGTTACATGCAATTCACCCCCAGAGCAGACCATAAAATATGCATAGCTTTGTGGGTGCTCATGGCTTTCCAGTTCTGTTGAATATGAAGGAGTTACATTGGGATATTGCCAGAACGGCAACCAAATCGGTCTACAGATGTTTGTAGAAGAGATTCTCCTGCTTCAAATTAATTTTCTTTTGGTTCTGGGCCTTTCAGGAACGTTATTAGGATGTTTGCCATGAAATGCAAAGCTGCTGTACTATGGGTGTATATTTAGGAAAACTATTTTAAAATGTAGTGCATAGAAAATTAAAACGAGATTGCTGTTTCAGAGCTATATATGATACATGCTTAAATGAACAGCTTAGGAAATTCCTTCAGTACTACTGTAAGGTGTTCAAGTAATACGTTTTTATATTCTTAGGTGGGAACATCCGTCTCATCCAAATTGCTGTAGCCTTGTCTCACATCAAGCATGTAGCCTGTGACTTGTATCTTAGCATACCAGTCATATTCTGTGGAGATTTTAATAGTACACCATCGTCTGGAACATACAGTTTTATTAAAAGTGGTGCCATTGCTGAAGATCATGAAGACTGGCTCTCAAATGGTGAAGAGGAAAAGTGCAATATGCCTCTAAACCATTCTTTCAAACTGCTCAGTGCTTGCGGAGAACCTGCTTATACAAACTATGTTGGTGGGTTTCATGGGTGTCTGGACTACATTTTCATTGACAAAAATGCACTAGAGGTGGAACAGGTCATTCCATTACCAAGTCATGCAGAAGTAACCACCCATCAGGCTTTGCCAAGTGTTTCGCATCCTTCTGATCACATAGCACTAATATGTGACTTAAAGTGGAAATAGATGAGCCCTTGCATGGTGCTTTTTGGGATTTTCAAACAAGAACATGAATTTACTGCTGGGGAAGTGGAGTTACACCCTGACTTGTACGCAATTAAAAGGAAACTGAAAATGGTTCCTCCCCTTCTCGCACCCCACATCTCCTTCCATCATTCTGTTCCTTCCACCCATCCCTTGCTGTGCCCAAAGCCTGGGAGACAGGGCAAGAGTGGGAGCAAACACCCACTGCCCTCCTGG